CCACAAGAAGTTCTGGGGCAGTGATAAGAAGGTGACCTGCTGAGTTTCACACAGGAAAATGTAAGATAATCTTACCACAGGGAAAAAAATCCAAATGCACTGAGCATAAAAGGATGCTGGTTAAACTAAAGTTCATCTTTATTATTTGCTAAGTGCCAAAGCATTTTTCATAGATCATTTCATTTAGTTCTTAAAACAACTTTCTATGATAAGTTCCATTACTATCTCCATAAGAGACAAATTTGTCAGAGATCCCATGTGCAACAGCAGCATCAAGTGAGGAGTCATGCCCAGGCAGTTTAAAGTCCCATTGCTAGAGCATCTACTCATTAATTCAACAGTGATGTGAAATACCTACTGCACGCTGGGAAGCATTCAAGGTGCTGAGACATAATTAAATGATGCAGACACAAATACGTGTTTATGAAGATTACATTCTGAATGGAGAGAGATGGAAAACTGGACCAAGAAATAAAGCAGGCAAGAGAAATGTGTGTGGGGGGCGAGGCGGTGGGGAAAGTCAATTCTGAGTACGGTATGGTCATCAGCCAAGGTCTCACCAAGAAGGTGACATTGATAAAGATCTGGGGAAGTGAGCACACAAACCATGCAGAGATCTGCTAGGGAGAGCAAACAGCAAAGATGAAAGCTCCGAGGAAGGAGCAAAGTAGAATGTTTCCAGAAATAGAAAGTCCAATGAGATTTGAACAGAGTAATTAAGGAAAGCGGAAAGGAAGATCAGAGAGGTAAATGACACTGGATCTTATAGGCTCTTGATTGGCTATTTGGGTTTTACTCTGGTACAATGCAGCCATTTGTGTTGGGGCAGAGGAGGGACACGAAATGACTTAATCAGGATCACTCTTACTACTGTCAGGAATAGTCTGGAGAAGCACAAGGAATCCAGAAAGGAGGCTGCAGCAGCACGCTGGGTAGAGATAGCAATGACCAGGCGTGGTGGAGGGTGAGGTGGCAAGTGCTTCTATTCTGAGTTTATCCTGAAGTCAGACTCAAAAGGATTGGCCAGCAAGTGGAATGTAGGGCATATGAGAAAAAGCAGGCAAGCATGCGCTAGGGCTTTTGACTTGAGTAACTGAAGACTGGAATTGACATTTTTAGAGATCGGGTAGAATACAGAGGAATGACTTTTGGAGGGGGGGGGGCGGTAGTGGTGGCAGTGGCTATTGAGGTCCCAGCTGGGACTTATTAAATTGGAGATGCCTACTAGACATCTGAAGGGTAATACTGTGGCACAAGTCTGGTGTTCAGGAGGGCTATTAGGATTGGAGTTACACCCTCTATTTTTAGAGTAATTGGAACACACTGCACCACATGCAGTTTTGAGGAAATGATTGTCTCAAACATACTGGAACTGTATTAAGGAAAGTGAAAATAGGACATACTCCTACTCTGTCTTCCATCCTAAAAACAGCTGCTCTGGTCACCACACTCCTTTGTTTGTTTGGGTTTTTTTTTTAAGATTTATTTATTTATTTTTAAATTTCCTTTTATTGTTTTAAAAGATTGATTTTTATACAAGAGCTGGGGTACAGTCAGAGGCACGGGAGGGTGAGAGGATTCACCAGAGACAGTGGGGAACAGAACAGGCAGACTGATGAAATACACTGCTGAGGCAAGCAGCGGGCGAGACAGGAGAGGTCTGCCGTGCCATGTGGGTATCTCCCTGGCCAGCCAGAAATCGAACTTGCCCTGCAGAGACGGCAGACAGCTTACCAGCACTGTGCTCAACCTGCTGCACCACCGGGGAGGCCCATCCCATAATGTCTTTAAGTGGTTCCCATGTGTGTTTCTTGGAAATTAAAAGGCCAACAAAATGCTGGGAATTGCTAAGAAACACTTCAAAAAAGAAGTTGAAAAAAAATCCTAGTTTGGTACAAAGCTTGGTGTCCCTAAGTTGACGATGTGCTGATTGCAATCTTTGTGGGCAGTGATGCTCTTGAGAAAGTGACTTTGAGCAGGGACCTGAATGGTATCAGCTGGCCAGGCACCCAATCTGGGGAGGGACATTTAAGGAAGAAGCAAGGGCAGGTGACTGAAGAGCACCTTAAGAAGGCCGCAGGCAGATTCATTTTAGCTGGCAACAGAAATGGTCTTTGTAAAATTTTAAACTTTAAGCTACAGAAGAGTGGGCGGGCACACCTTTCCCCTGGGATTGTCTACCAAGGAAGGCGCAGTCAGGTGGAGCAGTTTAATAGATGTAGTGGTTCCTTAAATGTTCCGGGCGCAGACTACACACAAGCTTTTTACAGAATCTGATTTATTCACCCCAGTTCTTCACCGACACTGCAATCCAGGCCCTTAATACACAGAAAAGGTGAGGTTCCAGGAATAGTAAATGACTTGTGCAAAATGGTTCAGCTACTTTATAGAGGTTTTAAACTAGGGTTCAATTAGCTCTGCCCTCCACATCAAAGACTAAAAGACACAACAGGATTCCGTGCACACGACCTCACCACCTACATGCCCTTTGTTAGCTGGGAACCTCACCTACTTCCAGCTCACTAGCCTACATCATTTGCATAGTTATTTACTCAAAAGCAGGACAATTATTCTCTCCCCCCTCTGCCCCCCCCCACCGCTGGCCGGGAGCTGGTTTACTCTTCTCCACAGAGCCAGCAGGGGGGGATACCAGGCCAGGTTTGTGAGCGTCACCTCCCCAGCTTAGCCTCGCCCAAATTCCCCATAGCCACCTCTTCAACTAAAAGTGGCCATTGACCTTTCAAGATTGAGCAGTGATGCAATAAAATAGGATTTCAAAGAAAAATGGCTATCGAAAATTCGGATCCGGTCTTCCCGTGTTGTTTTTAAGAAGTAGGTCACATTTAAAGTGGGTAATATTTCCGGGGCGGGCTTGCAGGCAATGACAAGTTTCCATGGAGGCCAGGTGGCCTCCAAGTAGGGGGGGAGGAGGTGAGGGCCCCCGGGTAGGGAAGAAGCGCCGGCTTCTTCCCAAATTCCCCGGGCGCGGGTGCCAGCCCCATGGGAAATCGCGGCGGGAGCGTGCTGCGGGCACGGAGGCCGGCAGGGCAGCGTCTCCCCGGCGCGCAGGTAAGGGCGTCCCTGCACAGCGGGCGCAGGTGAGGCGGGCTGGCCGCCCGGCAGCCGGAAGGAGACTGGCGCGGGGAGCGGGAGGAGCCGGGCCGAGCTGGTGCAGCCCGCGGGCCTGCCAGGGGGAGGAGACTGAGGGCGGCTCCGCTGCTTAAGGAGGCGCCGTTCTGCGCGCCCCCCACCCTCGCCGGGCTGGCTGCCTCCAAGGACCCGGGCTGGGGGGGTAGGGGCGCGCCTTCCCCCGCTGCTTCCAGCTCCCGGGCGGGGGGCTCAGGGGCTGGGATGGGGCCTCCCCACCCCCATGAGAGGCTTAGAGAGGGGTCGTGTACGAGCACCTCCAGTCCGTCCTGCAGCTCCCCAAATGTGCGGCCTGAACGGTCGCGTGAGAGGGCGCAGAGGGCACGGGAAAGACAAACCCCAGCGGCCGGCCGGGGATATCAGGTCTCGCCCGGCCCTGGCGCGGCGGGCACCGGCAGCTGCAAACCTCCGGCCGCCGACATGGCGGGGCCCGGAGCTTCTCCAGCCAGCGTCCGGGCGCGCGGGGCAGCGGGGCTCCCGGGGCTCGGCGGCGCCCAGGTCTGCACCCGCGCGCTCTCCGCCCGCCTCCCCGCAGCCGGCGCCGCGCGCCGGAGCCTCTTTAAAGCCGGAGCGGGGGCCGCGGTCACGTGAGGCGGATTCCTGGAAAGTTCCTGGAAAGCGGCCTCCGCCGCAGCCGGGCGGGGCGCGCGAGCCGCGCGCAGGAGGAGGGAGGCGGGGAGCGAGGGAGGCGCGTCGGGCTGGGAAGTCGCGCGCAGCACACACGGCTCCGGGGACAGACGTTTAACTCTTGCCAAGTCTCGCCGCCGCCGCCGCGGCTCGGGGCTCTGGGCTTCCCGTGAAGCATGATCCTCCTCGCCCGCCGCCTCCGGCGCTGCGCGGGCCGCGGACACTGCACGCCGGGGCCCCGGGCGCGCAGCCTCGCCGTCCCCTGCGCCCGCAGCCCGGGTGCGGGAGGGACCCCGGCCGCGGCGGGCGGCAGGTACCGGTCCCGGAGCCCGCAGGCTCCGCCCCGAGGAGGGTCGCCTGGGGGGGCGCGGGGCGCGGCCGCGGGCGGCCTGGGCTTCCGCTGCTGGGAGCCGCGGGGGGGCGAGTCCGAGCCGGGGTTCTGCCCCGCGCCCGGGCGCTGCTGCTGCTGCTGCTGCTGCTTTCCCTGATTCCCCCTCGGCGTCGGGAAGTCTCCGGAGTTTTCCCCCCTAAACTGCCACTCCAATTAATAAGCCTAATAACCTGATCGCCTGCTCCTCCCCACCCACCGCCTCCCGCCCTGGCTTTTTTCCTGTCTTCCTCTCCCCTTCCCACCTTCCCGGCCACAACGGGAGAGGCAGCCCAGCCACAGCCTGGGTGGGGGCGTCTGAGCCTGCAGGGGCTGTCGGGGCCCGGAGGGGCGGGGAGGAGGGCTTCAGGCGCTGATCCCTGGGGCTTTTGTTTGCCTGCCGAGCCGAGAACTCCTGCGCCCCCGCCGCGGAGCGCAGAACTGGTAGCATCCCCTGGCATCTCGTTCCCAAATTAAAAGTGAGCTGGGGCAACTCGCGCAGACACCCCAGCTCCCCCGGGCCGCTCCCGCGCCCCCGCCCCATGTGGGCTCGGGAGGCAGCTTGGTGCGGAGGCGGCAGCGGCCGCCCAGGCCGAGGTAAGGGCTCGGCGTTCCTCGTCCTGCAGGTCCCATGGCGCTCGCCGCCGCCTGCTGGGACCCGGCCGCCGCCTGGAGCCCCGGCGCGGGCCGCGCGCTCCGGCTGATTCCTCGACAGCGCCCGCGGTCGCCACGGAGGCGGCAGCCTCGGGACTTCGGGAGAGGCCGGCGCCTCTGTGTGCCGGGCCCCCACCCCACCCCACCGCCCCAAAGGGGCTCGGCGAGCTGGGGGAGGGGAGCGAGGCGGCTCCAGGGCGGGGATGCGGCAGAAGGCTCACCTCGGCGCGGGGAGCTGCGGGCTCCGTGGCCTCGCGAACCCCGCGGCGCTATAGAGCGGGGAACCTCGTTGGCGTCGCTGGCTTCCTCCTAGGGCTCCCCAGGACTGTGGGGAATGTGAGGCTGGAGTGCTGGTTGGGGGGGGGTCTCGCCTGTTCTTGTCTGTCCATTTTTTCCCTACTTGCTCTTCACTAGGGCCTGTTTACCACCGAACCCGCAGGTGACTCTGCTCGTCCAGGCTGCGCTTTAAGAGCGCAGCCCTGGGCGGGTGGACACCGAGTTCCCCACCCTCACCCTGCCCTTCCCTCTCCCCGCTCCCGTCCCCTCCAACTCTTGCGTCTTGGATCCACGCGCGCTCTTTATTCTCCTTTCTCCAGAGTTGGGTCAGGGCAGCCACTGGATGCTGAGGGTTAAATGGTGCAAGAGCAGAGGCGCAGAGAAGTCCCCGGGATTTCCACGTTTCTGTCTCTCCACCCACACCCCAGCTGCAGGGGTCCAGTTCCGACTGACCCACCCCGCCCCCACTTCTTCTTTTCAGGCAAACTGTGGGTGACCGCGCCTGCGGGGGACTTTGCCATCTGTCCACCGCGACCTGGGGAGGGAGAACCAGCAACTCTCTGTCCCTTCCCCCTCCGCTCCCGTTTCGGAGACCCTGCAGGGACTCGTTTTGGGGTTGCCACTGATTTCCAGGAAGGACGCGTGTCCCTCTCCGCCCCGACTCGGGCGGCCACCTGTCTCGGCCGCGGTGACCCTTCTCCCATGACCCTGCGGTGCCTCGAGCCCTCCGGGAATGGCGGGGAAGGGACGCGGAGCCAGTGGGGGACCGCGGGGTCCGCGGAGGAGCCGGCCCCGGAGGCGGCGCGTCTGGCGAAGGCCCTGCGGGAGCTCAGTCAAACAGGTAGGGAGCGGGCTGCCTGCGGCGCGCGCGCGGATGGGGTCGCCTCCCTCCCGCAGGGACGCGGCTGGGGGCTACACTGGCGGGGAGTGTAGTAAGTAGAGCTGACGTGGGAAGCAGAAAAAACGCATGGAAATATGTCCCCTCATCTCCTGTCCCTGCCTCAGGGCTGGGGACCCCGGGGAAAGATGCCCGCGCGGCCCAGGATCCTGGGGAATAAATACGAAAGGAAAGTAGTTCTCCAGGGACTCCGAGGCCCAAGGCGAGGACGGAGCTCGAGAAGTACTCCTTGGAATTTGCTTCTTGGGGAGCTTCTTGGGGACCTTGACTATTTTACGGGGCTGCTCAGGGGTGTGCGCTTGGACTCAAGCCCTAGCCGAGAAAGTACCTGGCGCCTCCCTTTTTGCGGGGTGCGAGAGCGGCGAGCGGGCTCTGCACTGCGTCCCCCGCAGTTTCGGGGGGATCGGGCTGCAGCGCCCAGCAGTCGCTGCAGCCCGGGATCTGGACTGCCAAGTTCAGGGACAGACAGATTGCCACGCAGGCGGCTGCCGCGAAACCCGGAGGCGCGCGGACAGCCCAGTGCCCGCCGAGCTCGGCCTTCAGGGGCGGCGCGCCGGGCTCATCATGCTGGTTTCCAGCGCAGTCCTGCGCGCCGCGCGCCTCGCTGTTGTCGCTGGCCATCCGAAAGACGAAAAGATAAAAGAATTCCGGCAGACCGTGCAGACTTTAAAATTTTGGATTCTATAAGCTTCCGTTTGGGGCAAAGTCGAAGTTTGGGTAGCGGCAGGGCGAGCGAAAAGTTCCTTAACATGCGGTTCGGGTCTTACCACGCGGCCTCTGGGCCTCCACACAGCTGGAGGGACAGACTGCAGGTATCCGAGCAATTTTGGGGGGTGGAGGTAGGGGGGGTCATTGTTCAGATTTCTTAAATGCAGAACGTCTCAAAGTCATTTTTATAAACGGGATGGGCCGGGGGAGATCGTGCAGGCAGATCAAGTGGAGAATGTTGGTTGTGATTGGATTTATATTAGATCAAAGTCCAAAGGAGTTTAGGGAAGATCTTAAACACAATGTACTGATTTATCCATTGGGGTTTCCCTCCTTTTTCAGTGACTGATAAGGTATAAGGTTTCTGTAATCAAAGCAGCAAACAGAAGCTATTGTCCTAGAACTGTACTTTTTAAAACAGGCATATAGCAGTGCTTTCTGGGGCTTTGACGAGGAGATGCAGCCTCTCACAGGCTGGGGAGAAGGAGCACCAACCATCCCAAAAGTTGCTACTGTTTTTACGCTAATGCATGGAATTCCTGGAGTTGGGTTTTCCACTTTCTTAAGGGCATGGACTTTATTCTTAACTTTTAATTTATTTCTAATTTACTTTAAATCTTCTATTTCATTTGAAACCTGCTAGAAGCATCAGGCTGTGTCAGCCAGTGTGTGATATGGCGACTTTTCCTTTGTTCCTTTAGGAGAAAATCTAAAGATAGTTTAAAGAACAGTTACCGAAAGTTACTTTAGAGAGAGAGGGCACGAAAACTGGCTGACGGTTTGTGTTGATAAAATAAAATGGACCCACAATTTTATGAAATTTCTGTCAACGGTATTGTGGTAGGCTCTGCTCAGCTTTCACTCATACACTTCTTTTTAGAATTAGAAAAACTGTTGCCAAGTACTTACCCTATTTTTAAAAATTCTTTATAATAACTATTTTACCCTCTTTTCTTTTTCCCTTTGAACAAAAACCCCAGGTTGGTACTGGGGGAGTATGACTGTTAATGAAGCCAAAGAGAAATTAAAAGAGGCACCAGAAGGAACTTTCTTGATTAGAGATAGTTCGCATTCAGACTACCTACTAACAATATCTGTTAAAACATCAGCTGGACCAACTAATCTGCGAATCGAATACCAAGATGGGAAATTCAGATTGGACTCTATCATATGTGTCAAGTCCAAGCTGAAACAATTTGACAGTGTGGTTCATCTGATTGACTACTATGTTCAGATGTGCAAGGATAAGCGGACGGGCCCAGAAGCCCCCCGGAATGGCACTGTTCACCTTTATCTGACCAAACCGCTCTACACGGCCGCTCCACCTCTGCAGCACCTCTGTAGACTCGCCATTAACAAATGTACCGGTACCGTCTGGGGACTGCCTTTGCCAACAAGACTAAAAGATTACTTGGAAGAATATAAATTCCAGGTATAAGTGTTTCTCTTTTTCTAAACTTGCCTCATGTAGAGCATCTCCGAATGCAGCTATGTAAAAGAGAACCAAAACTTGAGTGACTGCTCTGGATAACCACGCGGAAAGATCAGAACAGCCGAAGCCAATCTAATTTAAATGTGTGACAAGGTAGCTAGGTATTTAAAGTTCTCCCTCATATTTTCAGCTGAGTATTGCATCCCTTCCTAACCTTCCTAAGCTGACCAAGACCAGTTGATCCTTTTAAATAAAATGTCCCAAGTAAAGGCTGAAGGAACATTTGATCAGAATGCCTGGCCTTTCTGAGGTGGAAGGGCCAGCTCTGCTAGTAGAGAGAGAGAGAGAGAGAGAGAGAGAGAGAGAGAGAGAGAGAGAGAGAGCGCTCCACACAGGAGTGCAAAGAAGTGGAAGCCACCAAACTGACCCAGGCTCGACTTCAAGTTTACATGCCTGGTGATCAGAGTCTATTTTAGGACAGTTTCTATTTTGCATTCTGATGTACCTCGGAGTTTTGTTAAACAGATATGCTTGTGAGTATTTATCCTTCATTTTATGCAATTAACCAAATCAACCAAAAAAAAAAGTGACCATAAAATCCTGTATTTGTCTTTTTACTACATGATGAACTCTTGTGTGAATGAGTACTGTAGTAATCCATTTTAAGGGAGCCTTATTTCAGAAATATTTCAAACTGGTGCAAACAGAAAAGACTCTGTCTTTTCCTTTAAGGCTAAAGACAAGAATGTCATGCTATACAGGTGCAATTCAATCCCTGTTAACAAAACCATGTAGATATAGATATTTTATTCTGTGTCCCAACCTGTTGCCATTGACTTTGGAAATGGCTTTAGAAATTTCCAAGTTGCCCTTGACTTGTCTAACCATGGACATCAGCAGTTATCTCCCTTCTACCATGTAGAACACTTGGACTTAATTTTCTTCCAGCTATGGGGGGATACCTGCCTGTTTTCCAAAGTGTTTATTTACTGCTGTTACTATTTGATTAGAGTGTATTAAATAAAAAGAAAACCCTTTTACAAGTTGCACTTATTCCTTCAAATCATAGAGAACATACACATTCTTGGTAATTAAGGGTTGTCATAAGCTTGTCATGATAAATAAGCCAAATATTCAGTAAGGGGTAGGACATTTCTCGCCCTTCTCTAAAGTTATGGGCTGCATTTGCCCTCTCTGTTTTGGAAAGCGTGGTTTAGACACTACATGGACCCTAGTCTTTTACAGGTTGCATAGGCATAATACCAAATAAACATTTTAAGTTTGACAACCATTTATTTTTTGCCACACAGTCTCATGACTGTTACAAATGCATCTTTTCTTTTCTGGACTCCAGACATCATTCATTTTGCCACCTATTACAAAAAAACCTTCCTGCATAGCTACATAAAACAGTTTTGTACCTGGAAGAAAACATAACTCTGTGTGTCCAAACAATGGAACAACAGAACCGAATGCAAAAGATTGCTAGGTGTGCCTTAAGAAGAATTCATTGGTAGCTTAAAACTTAAAGAAGAACTATACTTTTAGGAGATGGTTTATGATGGGGAGATAGCCTCTTTGTTAGGGTTGAGTTCAGATTTCATGCTTTATTTACTTTCGCCCCCACTGATAACAGTTTTCAAGTGTGGAGTATTTCACTTTCCTAGCAAAACTTGCCCAGGGACTTTGTGGAATATATTTTTTTAAAGATTTATTTATTTATGCACACAAAAACTGGGGTACAGGCCAGAGGTGTGGGGGGTGAGAGGATTCACCAGAGACAGAGTGAGGAGCACAACAGGCAGACTGACAAAATACACTGCTGAGGGGAGCAGCAGACGAGACAGGCGAGGTCTGCTGTGCCATGTGGGTAGCTCCCTTGCCGGGGATCAAACTCATACTGCAGTGGCTGCGGATAGCTTTATAGGTTGTGTCTTAACCCCTTGCACCACCCGGGAGGCCCTGTTTGTGGAATTTTTTTTTAAGGTCTTTTGCATTTCTAGTTCCATTGTTTCAAATGCTCTGCTACTTCTCAATTATTGGGAATTGGGTACACTAATGAGGCATGAGTGCCTGTGGGTTGTGACAAGTCTGCAGTTATTGCTAGTAAGTGATCAAATATGAGAAGGGTAGAGGACAGCAGAGACATCTCAGGTGTGCTGTAGAACTGTTGCCTTCTATTTATATTTCCCTATTCCCAGTAAGCCTCAGGAGACAGTCGCTCTCTCTTCCTCCCTGCCTTCTCTCTTGGTTTGTTTGCTTTTTGTTTTTGCTTTGTTTTGTCTTACAATGACTCATATCATTTATTTGCTGGGTTTGTTATGTGCCAGATTCTTGCTCAGCACCTTACATGCGCTATCTCATTTAATCTCACGACAACCAAGTGAGCAAGGTGCAATAATTGCAAGCAGTGCACCTTCTGATATGTGAGTGAAGAGGCATTCCAGGAATATCTAGCCCTTTTTATTCCTGGAGAGGAGTTATGAGGAGCAAATTGCTGCTATTTCTACATTGATCCAGACAAACAAGTCAGAGCAGGCTATAAAAGGATCCCTTAGCCTTTTTACTGCTGCCTCAGCCAGAAAAGTATAGGTAGCTTAATTAGTGTTGTGTGCTGTGGGATTTGAGGGAGCTTGGCCCAATGGCCTTTACCCTGGTGGTGGGCAGGGGGAGTAGATGAGAAGAGGGTTAACTGTTTTATTTGGTGGCTGGTAAGTGATGCCAGTTAAGAACTATTTGTAGACCCAGTAGATAGACAGTTGGAAAAAAAATTAAGACGTATGCTTGTCTAAATAATCCTCAACAGAGCCAGGAAAAATATTGCGTGTTTTCTTCCTACTTAGGTCAGTTTGGGGTCCAGCGAGGGCTCGCACCATTGTTACCTTGGAAGAGAGCAGTAAACAGAACTTACCTCTCCCCACAGACTTAAAACATTTCCATCCTGAGCAAAGTTGAGGCAGCTTTTCATCCCATCCCAGTGCACCCTGTAGTTTGCTTTTTAGGGAGTTGGGGTATTTTTTCGGGCTTTGGATGGTGGAGAAAAGGCATTTCGGCTTAAGGGCTGAGAGTTCTTTTTTCAGTGTGTCAGTAAGAAAGTCTCGACTTCCTAGCAATTATATAATCCAAATAGGTAACAGAATGGGACAGTTGTCTGGGAGTGTTTATTTTCTTGGGAAGGATTTTCTCTGCTTTTAGAAAATTGTACCCTGGTAAGAGGGTAGGAGACAGAGACGTCATCTAATAATCATGGAATGGAATGTCCTGAGATCAGGCTGTGCCCTTCTCGGCTGTGGGTTTAGACACAGGGTCGGTGGGGGTGAGTGGGCCTGGCTGCCTCTAACAGCCACACTTAGGTCTCTCTTGTCTTGGACACGTCATTTCTATACTTTGGAGCAAAAAAAAAAAAAACAAAACAAAAAACCTGTTATCATTCATTCCAGGTTTTTTATTTACCTCAAGGCCTGTATTCCCGTCTCCCAATCCGTAACTATCTAAAGTTTTGAGACTTGAAGCCACGTTTGAGTTCATATTTTAGTTCTGTTATTTTACTGATGATTTTCAGACTTTTTGGAGATTGGCAGGGGTGTGTGGACTGCATGTGCGACAGACACACAGAGTTAGCCCTCTGCAAATCAATGGCAGAGTTGGTATCTGAACACAGGTATTTGAACCTCTGGTTTCATATTCACAAAAGCCATATATCCTTCTACCCTTTTAGTGGCCAAACTCTTTTTGCTACCCTATAAAACCTACAGTCCCCTTACCATCACACTTCTCTTCCTCAGAAATCAGACAGCAGGCATGAGGAAAAATACTACGTAGGATCACTTCAGTTTGGGGGACCCTCTTCACCCTACCCTGAAGAATTAGCTTCTGCTGCGCTTTGTGATACCTTGACCCACATTTAGAGTTTTTTGTTAACTTTAACTCTTCAGTGTTTCTAATCTGTTTGCTGTTCTAAAATCTGCCATCCATGCTGTTTTATGATCTCATTTCTGGGCCTGCCAACTATGACTCACCAGCAGCCATCCATGCTTGTCCTCACCGGTGGAACCCATTCTTTCTTTGCCCGCTGGTGGGCATAACCAGACAGCTTGTTCCTGCCTTACTTTCTCCTTTTTGTATCACAGTGTTGCCCTTTTAGCTCATCTGGCACAGTCCTGCTGGCCATGTTACAGGCCAGTGAAAGGGTAATTATATTCTGCTTGAGTTGGAGAAGTGAGCACTTTAAAATATTTTCAGATTAAATTTGTCTCTTTGTGTCTCTTCGATTTATTTCAGATTTTGAAACCAGTAGCCAGCCCCAAATGCCAAATGCCATACTTGGTTTATGTCCCTGTTTTAATTTCTCTCTCTCTTTTTTTTTTTAAGTATCCATGGCCCTTGCTCCACTCTTAAATTTCTCTTCATTTGAATAGAACGGAGACACCCTCCAATTCCCTCCCTTCTGCTTGTCTATATGTAAGAAACATTCTGTGATCGTTTGGTTTCTTTTTCTTGTGTTTTGTTCTTCACATATTTTTGATTTTTCTCATTTTTCCTTTCTGTGGCTTGAGTTCAGGTTACTTAACTTCATTACTAAAGTAAAGTAACAGCTGTGGCTGCAGCCACTTCTAAAAGCCCCGCGTCCCCAGTGTCTACAAAGTGAGGAAGCTGAGATCATGGGCAGAGCTGGCTGTTCCTTCCTCCCCCATCAGGAGCCTTGTCAACAAGAGAGGCTGGATCTGACACATGTCATCACAAAGAATGTGGTTCCTTCAATAAACATTTACCAAGCCGTAAAAATAAAACTGCTTTTATAGATGACTCTCGCTCTGAACTGTGTCCTTAACTTAAAGGAACTCTACCCTGCCCCCTGGGAGCAGGGACACATTTTGTGAAGTTTTATTGTGGGGTGCTGCCTCTCTCAGAAACAGCGGGGAGAAGGGAAAGAGAGGAAGGCAGAGTCCCAGTAAGAGGGGAGAGAGGAAATAGTGCTGCTGCCTTCTTCTTCTCACTAG